GCCTCTGAGAGCACCAGGTCACATGTGGAACACAGAAATGTGTGCAAGGTAAAACACCATGCATATGACATTTAAATAATAAATGTTCAAAAATAAACAAAATTTCAAAATAGCAAAAACGTGGGATGAGTGTCAGCAGCTGATGTCACACGTACTGAAAACCAAGATTTTCCTTGAAGACTAGGAATAAGTCAAAGGTGCCCATTGCTATTACTTTTCTTGTGCTCATGAAGTTCCCGAACACTTCCATGGGTAATAGTAATAATGGTGACAACAATGTATGCGTGATATGCATAGTATAAGATGACGTACAGATGCCCAACACACAGTCTTCTGTGTCTGGATTCTGAATCTACACTTTCAATAGCTGTGATAGAAAACAGTCAGTGAGGGGGTGAGATAGTTCAGCAGGTAAATGTGCTTATTGCAAATCTGATGTCCAGTGGAAGAAAAGAATTATCCCCAGTTGTTGTTCTCTGATCTCCACACATGCACTATGGCATATGCGCACACACACAATAATAAACATCTAAAATAATTATTAGATATGCTGTTGCTATATAGATCAGGCTGGCCTCAAACTCATGATTCTTCTGCCTCCTCTTCCTGAGTTTTGAGACTACAGGGTTCTGATACTATGCCTAGTTCTGTTGAAAATATAGGAAGAGGAGGAGAAGTTGCTGCTGCTGCTGCTGCTGCTGTGGCTGCCAGGCAGGGTGGTGCATGCCTGTAATTCCAGCATGCAGGAAGTAGAGGCAGGCAGATCTGTGCGAGTTCAAGACTAGCCTGGGCTACAAAGTGAATTCAGGACAGCCAGTGCTACACAGAGAAACCCTGTCTCGAAAAACAAAAAACAAAGAACAAAAAAAGGAAAAGGCATACTATGCTCATATATTGGAAAACTGTATTTTAGTATCCTTTCTTTCTCAGAAAGAAGAGAATAAGGGGAGAGGTGGAAGGGGAAGAGGTAGAGAGACCCTAAAACTCACATAGAGTCTAAAGGGCCCCTTAGCAAAATAAATAAATAAATAAATAAATAAATAAATAAATAAATAAATAAATGAATGAATGAATGAATGAATGAATGAATGAATGAATGAATGAATGAATAAATAAATAAAAGGAAATATCGAACTTGAAGGCCTTACACTTCCTAATTCCAAACTTAACTACTAAGCTACAGTAATCAAAACAGTGTGGTACTGGCATTAAATCAGACATAGAGACCAATGGAAAATAACAGAAAGCCCTCTAGATAAAGAAACACACAAGGTTTATGATTATTAATATGTGTGTGATGTGTGAGCTTGTGCACGCAGTATCAAATGACTTTTAAAAGATAAATTTTTAAGTTTTACGAATATGGTTGTTTTGCGTGCATATATGTATAACACATGTATGCAGTGGCTTCAAAGGCCAGGTTTTGATTCCCGTGGAACTGAAGTTGCAGATAGTTGTGAGCTACCATGTGGGTGCTGGGAACTGAACCTGTGTCCTCTGTGAGAGCAAGTGCTCTTACCCACTGAGCCATCTCTCCAGCCTTACCAAATGACTTTTGACAAAGGTGCCAAGACAGAGATAGAACAATCTCTTTAATGACTAGTTCTGGGAAACTGGACATCGGTATGACAAGTCCTGAGCGTAACTACTCGTTGGCAGGGTGTGAGGGAGTCAGAACACTTGTGCTTTACTGGTGGTAACAGAAAATGATGTTACACTCTTGGAACACAGGCAGCTCTCACAAAACAAAATCAGAGTAAGACTTAGCAGTTCCACAATTTTGGGGGATATAGCTAAAGGATTAAAATCAGGGGTTGCGTTTTGGAGCACTTGCTGTTCTAAAGGACATGGATTCAGTTCCCAGCACCCACATGGCAGCTCACAACCATATGTAAATCCAGTTCCAGGGGATCCAATGCCTCTTCTGGTCTGCACATAGTGCAGATATACGTGCACATAAAACATGCATAACACATTTTTTTTTTTATTAAAACCATCTTTTACAGTGTCTCTTGGCTAGTTTTATGTCAACTTGACACAAGCTAAAATCATTTGAGAGGAGGGAATCTCAAATGAGAAAATACTTTCATAAGATCAGGCTATAGGCAAACCTGTAGGGCATTTTTCTAATGTGATTGATGGGGGAGGACCCAGCCCATTATGGATGGTGTCATCCTTTGGCTGGTGGTCCTGGGTTCTATAACAAATCAAGGCTGAGCAAGCCACAAGGAGCAAGCCAGTAAGCAGCACCCATAGCCTGTTTCAGCTCCTTCCTCCGGGTTCCTTCTTTGTTTGGAACTGACAGTCAGTTCCAGTCCTGACTTCCTCCAGTGATGGTCTGGAGGTGTAAATCAAATCAACCCTTTCCTCCCCAACTTGCTTTTTAGGTCATGATGTGTCATCAGAGCAATAGAAACCCAAAGACACAATGGTTCCACAGCCCTATTACCCACAACAGCCAAAGGTACAAACAATTCAGTGTCATGAAGGATGAAGGGTAAACAAACTGTGGGCACTCAAAGGAGGGATCAATGAACTTTTATTTTTGGGTGTTTTTTATATATAGATCTATATATATATATATATAGATGTCTGACTATATAGACCAGGCTGGTCTAAAACTTACAAAGATTCACCTGCCTCTGCTTCCTGAGTTCTGGATTAAAGGCTGGCTCTTTTAAGAATGTTTTTGTTTATTTTTATATGTATGAGTACTTTTGCCTGCATGTATATACGTATGTGCCCAGTGCCCAAGAGGCTAGAAAAGGTCATCAGATACCCTGGAACTGGAGTTAAGGATTGTTGGCATAATGTTTTTGTGGACTGTGTACAGTTTATCCTTGCTCATTCAAATGCTGATTTCTCTACCCACTATTTGGCTTCAATCCTGACATTGCATTGTGATGTTTATTTTAAGTATCTCCTGTCTCAAGTTTGTGTAAACATGTCCACCATTTGAGCCAATAAAAATGCCAAGGAGCCATTGCTGAGTAAATGAGAATAGGGTGGGACGTCCGGGTCCAGTGAGGGGAGGAGAAAGAAAGAGGAATTAGGAGATGGAGCCACGAGGAGGGAACTGGGAACCATGGGAGAAATGGTGTGGACCTAGAAGATGATTAAAAAGCAAGTATAATGTGGGAAATCTGAATGAGAGGAAACTATGCAGGCTTGGAGGTTTAGGATGGAGTAACTATTGCTCAAAATTGTGCTCTGGGGTAACTAACTACATCCTAATTTTTCTGTGTGGTTATTTGGGTAAATAGCTGGTTAAAGAGTAACAACAACAATGTATTAACAACAATGTGAATCCATATTAATCATTAATAATCATTCAACAAAGGATTGTTGCGAACCGCAATGTGGGGGGTGGTAAACAAACCGAGGTCCTGTACAAAAGCAGTCTGTGCCCTTAAACTCTGAACCATCTCTCCAGCTCTCAGTCAACACCCAAAAGGAAGGCAATTCAGGCACATGTCACAGCACAGATGAAACTTGAAAACATGCTAAATGAAATTCATTCACAAATGGACAACCGTGTGTAAGCACCAGGTACATGGGGTATACAGTCCAGTTCAGACTCAAAATGGTGGGTGTTCAGGGCTTGGAGATAAGGAGTCGGTGTTGAATGGATAGTTTCCAGTGTGGCGAAGCAGCTCTGGGAATGGAGGAATATATTTATTAATACTGCGTTGGATGCTTTACAACGGTTACTATGATAAACTTTGTCATGCACATTTGAGGTGAGGCCCTAAAACAAACCCAAAAGGCAATTTGGAAAAAGGCCTATGTAGGAGGGGCTTATTGGGTGGTCTTTTGCACAAGCCTGCTGCTCATTCCCTGCTGACTGTTGGCTCCAGCTGCTTTGGGGCAGGGTGATGGGAATTCACAGAAACAACCCCTCCCTTAAGGGAGGAAGTTTAAATTATCAGGTCAATTAGGAAAGATACAACTGAAAAAAAAAAAAAAAAAAAAAAGCCCAGTTTCATTCACACTTTAAGGAGGTGTTTCCTGGCCGGGTGCCACTTTTATTGTTTTTGGCCCGGGCTACTGAAAGGCCCACAGACCCTTGGAAGGCACAATGTGATCTTTGATTCCCCTTTCAAGGATCAAAGCGATTGAGTTTGGGTGTAAATGCAGATAACATTTCAGAGATCTTTCATGAAACGAGTCAACGGAGCAGGGCAGACGGGGGCTGGTGTGTTAGGCATGTGCTTGCTTTCATAAGTATTACCGTGCAGCAAAGCCTTCTGTTCCTGGTCCAAGGCCCATCTAAATACATAAGAGGGGGGGGGGGGGGGAAACTATGCATATGCATGAGGGACACATAAGGTCATCTCCTGACCTCTCTGAAGTGTTGGGTGCCGACTGGGCTTCCTAGTGCTGTGCAGTACGCTGGGCTATGCACTGCTCAGTCCAAGAGGCGGTCTGTCTGGGTACGTGTACACACAGTGTTCAGTCCAAGAGGCGTTCTGTCTGTGTACGTACGTACAGGCACACACCATCAGACAAGGAAAGCCACAGGCCTGTTTGCTTGCCTTTAGGTGCTAGGTATCCCAAGTGGAGGGACATGATGCCAGCTTGTCCTGCCTCTCGCAGCAGGGGTGGAGATATGCAGACCCTGGGGCTTGTCTGGCGCTGAACAAGGGCACTGGACCGGGAGGGAACTGCGCAGACCTGACACTCAGGGAAATGCGCTCCCCAGGCCCGAAGGCTCAGCAGCCACTAAGTACCGGAGCCCTCGTGACGCCCTCAGCCCTTAAACTCACGCCGGTCCTCGGCAATATTTCGGGTGACAGCGCAGCGAGGACTGGGAACGCATGGGACCTGCCTCTGCTCCCGCGGGCAGCTGAACCAGCTGGCGCCTGCGCACGTGGCCTCCGGGGAACTGTACCCAGCGCGCGCTCCCATCACGCTCCGCGCGGCGCCTTTGCGCTGGCACAGTACGGGCGTCCTCGAGGGAGAGGCCTCGCGGTCTACAGCGCAGGCGCGGCGAGCCGAGCATGCGCACTCAGCCCCTCGGGAAGGCTAACGTGGGGAGTGCGGAGGTGCCAGGGCGGGCACGTCCGGGGCGGCTGCGCGCACGCCAAGGGGGCGTGCCTGGCGAGACTTTGGCTAAGATCCTAGGATCCCACAGCGTCAGGCTAGGAGCTCGGCGGCTGGGTCAGTGTGGCGGCGCGAGGGGGGGACCGCGAGCGGCGTAACCCCGGGTCTGCGCGGGGTGAGGAGTCACGTCCCCGCTCATCTTATCTCGCTCTCCACTTTGCAGGTGGCTGTGGGATCCTGCCCTCGGAAGTACGCTGTTGTGCCTGGTGTGCGAGAGCAGATCCTCTGACCTGGCGGCCCCTTCTGCGCATTCTCGGGTAGGTGGGCTTAGTTGTCCCAGAGTTTAGGAGCTGGCTGTCCTGCATGGCGGCTGCTGGCGGGCGGTGCAGGGAGTCTGGCCTCCACTCCTGTTTTGGCTTTGTACAAGTTCTGTTGCCGTGTCTCCTGGGTCTCGGAGCAGAGAAGTCAGTCAGCGTGTCAGGTATTACCGGGCCCGCGGAGGAAGAGTATTATGCGTCGCGCGCCCGCCCCCCTCACCGTCTTCTAGTAGATTGCTGTCCAATCTATTAGAAAATGAACGAAATTACTTGGTGCCAGGCAGAGTTGCTAGAGAGAAGCGAGAAAGTTCCACAGACTGATATGCAAAGGGCGGCGTGGGATGATCATGAGGCTCAAAAAGTGAGTGACTGGCTCAAGTTTAGGAAGAAACAGATTGGCTTCTTGTGCGGGGGCGGGGGCGCTTCTCTCGAGTTGCCAGGTGCACTCAGGCACTTAGGTGAGTGGGCACTTAACAGCTAAGATTTGCAGTTGGGGCGGGAGTCTTGGTGGCACACTGGCTTCTGGGCATGCAACGTGGTGTTTGTGGGAGCCTGACACCTAGCTCTGGGGCCTGGGCTTGTGGACACTACTTTTTGAGAATTCACTGAGAGACTGGATCTGGCTCATAATTATGATGGGAATCCTAGGCCAAAGGCTGGGCTTTCTGGTGTGAGTCAGCGATCTACCTGAGATGTTCCAGAATGCTTGGGTGGTAGAGGTGGGTGCTGGAGGTACTGGCAGCTGAGTGTTGTAAGCCAGAAGATCAACTTTGTTGTACCTTTCTTGGAGAAATTGACTCTGGGTGGGGGGTGAACACATGGAAAACCAGAAGTGAAGATATGTGCAGGACATGGTGCTCCTAGGAGAGAGATTGTGGAGAACTGGGTTGTGTGTACAGGATGAAGCAGAGAGTTGAGAGGAGGGAGGTCTCAAGTGGTGGGCTTCCCTCCCTAGAGAGGCTGGTGCAGAGCGTGAGAACCCCAGAGGGGAGCTCCTTGTCTTCCTTCCTTGTCTGGCCTCTGATGACCACAGCTTAGAATGAGGATGGATCCAATAGTTAGAGGGAGCTTTCCATGCTCAGCCCATGTGCTGGTGGTAATAGGAGGAGACCTCACAGTGGAATTTCCGAATTTCACTTTGGGAGATAAGGGTGCTAGGCTATTGACTGGGATGAAGATGAAGGTGGGGTGCTCAGGGTTGGGTACCTTTGCCTGTAGGTGGTCTCCTGGAAATCCTGGGAGTGGCAGGAAACAGATCAAGCAAGGCAACCTATTTCTGTCAGGTGTTACTGTATGTGCAAGGATGTTTTTGTATGCTCTGTTCTTAGCGGTTTACAGCCAGGAGCGCACTCCTCCACTCTGTAACCTGTGAAATGATTTGTGGCTAAGCTTGTCTCTACAGCAGGTTCTGCTCCTCTGCTGTCATTTACTAATTGGTGTGTAGCTGCACACAAATCAGGTTGCCACTCTTCCTTGGCAATAATAGTGGTACCCAATTTGTGGGTAATGTGTAGTCAGCATTCAGTACAAATGGTACTATGACACACACAAATGGTACAAATGACAGTTGCTACTATCATTGCCCTAAAGTTCCCTGATGTTCTGGTCTGGCCCCCTCTGAGATTGACAGCTTCTGTCATTAACCTTGAAAGTCACTGGCAGCATTTGTCTGTTTCCTTTACCCTCCTAGGTCAGCCACTGGGCCCCTCCCTCCATTCAAAATAGCTAATCACATCCCTGAGGGTTTTCTGCCTGCTGCCTCCTCCTGCCAGTCAGTGGTGATGGTTGAGCCTGGTTTCTGCTCTTCCCCACCTTGTTTTTGGACAGATTGCCTTGGATGATGGCCTGCGTCTGACAGTCCCTCAACTCTTCCCCGGCTCAGCTTCCCTGGTCCTCATCGTTTACCTGGAATGGCAGTCTGCCACACCCTGCCCAGCCGCTTCTTGGCCTCTTGTGTTGTACCTGACTCTTCTGGCCACACTAGGCCTTCAGTGGGCACTTCCTCCCTTTATTCCTGGCATGCCTCATGGCAGGCGCTGTTGGCAGAACCCTGGTAATCCTGTCCAGATGGCAGCCAGTTTCACCAAAGCACACCCTTGGCAGCAGATGGCGGATTCTTGGATTAAGAGGCTCTGCTATGGGAACTGCATGTGTGTGCACCACCATGGAACAAAACAGTACAGCTAATGATTCTTCTGGCAGTAAGCCCATAGAAAGGGGCCCTCCAGCTGGATGCACACCGGAACCCTGGCCACTCAGGACGGACTTCCACGGGGTTCCTGGCTCCAACGTGGTACCTTCGATGGCACTCCATGACTTCTGGACTTTCCTGGCCCCGATGGGCAATTATATGTCTTCCACTTTGAGCACTGTCAGGGCAATTGCAGCTGTGTCTATGAGAGCCTCAGTTGACTGACAGGCCCAGCCTAGGCCTGGGCAGCCCCCTGCCTCAATAGGGACCTGCCTTTGCCTGATGATCGTGAACTCTTTTGCCCGGATCTCAAAGAAGTTATTCAAGACCCACACAGTTTTGTTGAACACTATGCCACTATCTCCTGTCCTCTGCCTTCCACATCAAGCCAGCCACCAGTGGCCCCACAGCTGCCTACACTAAGGCAGGACTTAGGTTCTCAGTGGCCCTAATGTCCAGTGTGGATACTCCCTTGAGGCCTGCCTTAGCTGCTCCTTCTGACCCCTGCTTGGTGCAGGTCTAACCCTATATCCAGAAGTGCCTGACCTGAACAGCAGCTGGCCAAGGAAGGTTCTCCTGGACCCCAAGATCCCCTGACCCAGGCTAGTTTTGGATTTAGCCCTATTGTAACTGCTATGAGGCCAGCTGCTTCCTATCCAAAGGAGGCAGCCCCCAAATTTGTCTCAGTACCTTTAAAATCTGTTAACTCCTCTTCTTAGAAGCTAGAATCAGCTCATCTGAGCTTAGAACCCCAGAAGACAGAGAAGAGTTCTGAAACATGAGACTAGGAAGTGTGTCTGGGTACTCCATGGTGGTTGAACAGTGTCCCAGAGATCCCACAAGAGCCACCCTTTTCTTCCATTCCCTACTCCTTATCCCTGTGTTCTGAGCACTGTCTAGACATGCAGCAGTGCCCCTCTTGGTGCGGTGGTGTGCACAGGGCGGGAGTTCCACAGCACCCAGGCAGGACAGTGTTGTCAACAGACGACTTCACTGACCCCCATGGCTGGATAGCAAGACAGAAAGGCGTGTGAGCTCTCCCTGCTCCTACTGGAATGTGGACCTGTGTTGGGCCCTATCTGAGTTCCTACCCCACACCTGGAAGTGCTGTTCCACGTGGCCAGTTCTACAGGAAAGGCTCTGTAGATGAGCCTACCAGATTGTAGCGCTGGGGCCAGAAGGTGACCCCACAAAGACCCCTGTTGCTGTTTCTTCGCCTCTGCCCTGCTCTCTGACCTCTGACACTAGGCTATAATGGAAAGAAGGCTGCTTGAAGGAAACTACTGCTCTTTTTTAAATATTTTGGTTGGTTGGTTGGTTTGGTTGTTTTTGAGACAATGTTGTGCTATGTAGCTTTGGCTAGTTTGGAACTTGTTATATACCGGGCTGGCCTTCTGAGTGGTGGGACTAAATGTTTTTTTTTTTTTTTTTTTTTTTTAATGATATACCAATGAAGTATAGTGTAATTGGATATATAGCTGTATAATGATCCAATTTGGTGATTACTATTTATGTTTCCTAAATGTTGATCATTTCTTTGTATGGGATTGTATTTACATTCCTCTCATGGTTCCGTATAAAACATGAAATACATTATTGGCAACTATAAGTGCACATTGTACTGTGGAAGTTATCTAACCTTTGGGTCTCTTCCTGGTGTTTTCTGTCTTGTTTCCATTATCTGCCATCTGCTTCTGCCAGGTCAGTTCTGATAGCTTTTGCATACAGGTACCTGTAGCATTTATCTCTCGGTACCTGCCTTCTTTTACTTAATAGTTTTTTTTGTTTATTTGTTTTTTATGGTTAAATAATAACATAGTATACATATATACATATATATATATGTATGTATGTATATATATACACGTCTTTTAAAAACCACTCATCTGTCATTGTACACTTTGGTGGAGTCCATTTTTTTGTGAGCAGTGCAGAAGCAGCTGTATTCATCCTTGTAAGGGATAAGATGACATCTTGGCTGAGAACCATACTTCCTGTGGGCTTACTCAAAGCCCTGGCCAGCTGGGAGGTTTGAATGCAGGAGGGTAGGATCTCCTGCTTGGTTCAACCTTAGTCATTCCCCTTTTTACACGGCAGCATTCTCATTATACCTGGTCATGCTTTCAAAAGCTTTCCATCCCCTCCCCTCACACTGTACGCAGACACATGATTCAACACTTTCGGCCTCCATGATGGAAATAACCTGGATCTGCTGGTAGACTGAGCCTCCGTGAGACTTTAGCATACATACGCATCCCAGGAAGCATTGCCCAGTAAGCATGAGGTGATCTAACTGCTGAGTGTATGGTGGCTGCTGACAGAGCCCTTGTTTGTGAACAGAAGTGCTGTTCCCATTCTGTCAGCAGAGCCCAGCCAGGTGTCACAGGTGTGCAGCAGTGCTCAATGTAGCCATGAAGGTGAAAGGATCTGCTAGGAGGAGCTGGAGCCAGGTGGGGGAGGGGGGCCAGTGTTCGGTGGCTTTGGTATCTGACTTCTGAGAGCTCTAGGTAAAGAGAAGAGCAGGTAGCAGATGGGAATGTGAGGCCTGGGATCGGAATGAGGACAGACCAGTTCTGCACAAGGAAGCATTTTTAGTGAGAGCTAAGTGTGCAAGCTCTTTTGAGGCAAATTAATCTGAGGATGGGGACACAGCCACCCAATACACAGCAAGTGCCTACTTAGAAGTGTTTAGACAAGGAAAGCATCAGTCTTTCAGTTTTACAGTTGTGAAGGCAACACGAGGAAACTTTCCTAGGTAGTTAATAGGACCATAGCTTGGAAATACAGCTGGCCATGATGAGCAAACATCTGGTGAGACTTGGAATAGGTTGTTGGGTTGTTTGCTAACCTACTAAGAGATGCTTTGGGTCCAGGTGGTTTCTTTGTGAATTATTTCAAAGCACAGATTCCGTGTACATAAAACAGCTGTGAATGTTGCTAACAGAAAAGATTTTTGCAGTACACTAGGCTGCAATGTTACAGGCTGCTCAGCTGCTCCCATGATTGCTCATGGCTAGAATGGACTGCTCTCTCTTATTCTTTAGTTGTCTGTGGCTGGGCTTGCCATAGCTCTGGTGGTGGATCCTGGAATGTCTGCAGGGATGATGGTCTACTTACTCCCTGGCTCTTGCCATGCTGCTGTCCCCTAATGCACCTGCCTCCCCACCTCTGGTGGACCTGAAGTGAATCCCTTCTGCTTGAAATGGCTATGGTTCCTCCTGACCCTGATCTTCCTGGGGCATCTCTTGAAGGCTTGGGTAGTGGTCTGCCATGTATCTGAAGGCCTGCAGCTTGGCGTCTATGGTTGGCAGGCTTGAGAGCACTCAGCAGAGACTAGGTGACCTAGAAAATTAGTCTTGGCCCTATTTAGAAGAGAAAGCCACTCCCTGTGATTGGGTTCTTGATAATCGAGGAGAGGAGGCCTTGTAGCTGCGGTGACCAGGTTGTTTGCTCCTGGCTGTCTATAGGTGGAACAGAAGCTTGGACTGTAATGGTCTTCCAGACCATTACAATGTAGCTTGTCTCCAGTGACATCAGCAACAGTGACAATAGTATCCACCTTCCACCAGAGGCAGTGACCCAGGTGATCTATTCCTTGGGAGAGAAAGCACTATCAGGTTAGACCTGTGTGGAGGGTCTGTCCTGGTACTAGGAAAGATGACCTAGGAGAGGACTCCCCCGGAGCTGGACACAATGATGGGCATGCCTCTGACTAGTGTGTCCTTTTCACTTACCTGGGAAACATCCTGACATCTCATCTCTAGACAATAAGCCATGGGCTCTGTCAAATGGTTTTTAAAAGACCTATCTCCAAGGAAGACCTTAAATCAGGAAGTACTGGTAATAAAGTCCTCTAGACATTAGAGTACTCTGTAAAATTGCAACATTTGAAGCACTTGGATATTGGATAGAGAAATAGTAGTGAGACAAACCATTTGGAACGGTATAAGTTGAAAATTTAGTACATTATTAGCGGCGTTTCAAATGAATGTCAGTAAAACCACTTGATAACTGGCTGGCTTTCTGGAACATAGTAAAGCAGAGTGCCTGCATCTGTTATGCCAGCACATAGTCCAGATGGATTAAAGATGACATTTTTTAAGGTTGTAAAAATGCTTGTTAGCTTCCTGTTGTAACAAGTGCTAAATAATCAATTTGTGAAAAGGAAAGGTTTAGGGTCACACTTTTGGAGGTTTTAGTTCACTGTTTGTTGGTAGTTTATCATGGAGGCAACACGTAGCAAAACCATTCACCCCATGTCCAGGATGAGAAGATGAGAAAAGGGACAGAGGGCCCAGTATCCCCCTCAAGGACACACCTGTGACGTGAAACCTTCCATGAGACCCCTTCTAAGGTTTCACTACCTCCCAGCAGAGCCAAGATGGGGACCAGGCCTTTAACCCATGTGCAGAGCATTTGAGGTCCCAATGGAGCAGTTCTACAGAAAAACACAAGTAGTTCTAAGATTTTAAGTTTTGCATGTCCAGAATTGCCAAGGGTATGGCAGGTGGGCTCCCTCTTGCCATCGGTGGGAATATAAAATGCTTAGGTTTGACCACATTAATAGTTCTAGGCATGTAAATGTCTGACCCCTTGCCCACAAGCTCATGCCATGGGTAGCTGCGGTATGTAATTACGGTGTGTGAGAGCTGAGTGGGCTTGAATTTGGTCACATCTTGTTTCTTCCCCAGACTCCTGTTAGGTATGAAGTAGTTTAATCCTTACTGGGTAGTCAGGAGGGTTGAAGGAGGATGATATCCATTGTGAGCTAGCTGAGGCCTGTGACTGTCTATCATAACACTATGAACAGCAAAACTAAAAGAGTTAAAGAGCCAGCCATAGGGGCAGGGCAAGTAAAGATGCCATTCTTAGAGCTTCTGTCAGCATTAGCTAGAACTTAAAATCTCAGTGACCTGAGTGGACACCTGGCATTGGCTGTCCATTCTGTGTGTGTTGGAATAGTCTGGATATGCTCTGCTTACTGCTGTATCTCAGAAACATTTACAGCTCTCCCATCTGTACATACTGCTACACAGCGAAATGATGCTCTGGGGAACCATGATGGGTCATAGGTGTCACCCCACCTGCACCACTGTGACCAAAGGAGGCCACAGCTGCACCTAAGTTACATGGTCCTCCTCATGTGGGGTGTGCCTTAGTCACTGCTCCGTTGCTGTGCAGAGATACTGACCAAGGCAACTCTTTTAAAAGAACATTTAACTGGGGCCTTGCTTGTAGTTTCAGAGGTCTAGTCCATTTTCATCATGCTGGGGAGAATGGTGGCACACATGGCTCTTGCTAAAGAAGCAGTTGCTAAAGAAATAGGTGAGGACTACATCCTGTTCTGTAGGCAGAGGAGGAGACTCGGGGCTTGGCGTGCGCTGATAGTGGCACACTTCTTACAACAAGGCCATACTTTTTAATCCTTTCAAATAGTACCACTCTGGTGACTAAGAATTGTAATATTTGAGTCTGTGGGGGCCGTTCTTTTTCAAACCATCGCAGGTGAGTTGCTCAGTACTGAGCTGAGTAAGCAGCCGTTCACGCTGGAGGCAGCCGCTGTGGGAAAACGGTGGGCCTGTAATGTACAATGTGCATGTTCAAACCAGAAATGCTTCTTGCCACAGTTCTGGAGTGGAGAAATACAAGGTCAAGTTGTAGGCAGAGTGATTTTTCCTAAGGCCTACCCTTGGTTTGTGGGTGGCCATCTTTCCTGTGTTCTTGCCCAGTCCTCTCTCTCAATGTATTTCCATGTCCTAATCTGCTAGGACACCAGGCATGTTGGATCAGGCTTACCCTAAAAG